GCAAAAATGAGCATAGCGAACATCAAAAAAGTTGAACGGAACCATCCCTCCACATATTCATGTGATCGTACTGGTACTAAGCAACCCCAACAAATTCCCAATATTTTTAAACGTATCAATCAGACTCGAGCTTTGCATTCATAACTCGAACATAAAAATCAACCTTTATTATTAACAAACCAACCGCCTTAACCCTCAAAAAAAAAAAAAAAATTATATTTCTATCGCATTAAAAAAATGAAATAATTTGCTTCGCCTGATCTCGAAACATGATTGGCCAATACGATAAAAAAAAAACTCCCAGCGCATGAGCAGGCGCACAACTTGTTACCCGTTACAACTTACGTACTTCGTACTACGTCCCTGGTAAAACCGGTTCCAAACTCTAATCAAAATTGGAAACAATGACGATCGATGAATCTTTAACGTTAATAATAAATACATACAGTACTTTAGTCCGATTAAAAATAAAAAGTTTCGACTCGAAAAAAAAAAAAAAAAAGAAAAGCAATCCAAATCCTTCGCACATGGACGAACAAAAACAAAAGAATGTAATGATAGAGATACCATTTAAAACCAAAAAATCAGCATTATTAACATATTTATGGCATAAGAAATCTGAATTTAAAGATATAGACTTTCGTAAACATGAAGGGATTAAAAGCGTATACAATGCCATAGAAATTAAATTATCTCCAAACCATGCTTACATTCTACTACTTGGCCTATCTGGCGCAGGAAAGTCCTCGACTATTAATAACTTGTTTGGTAAAGAAATTACTGCCGCTGGAGATGGAATATCTCAAACAAAAGTCGTTACAGAATTTAAAGGTGAAATTAATAACTCACGTCTCGGCATAAAAAACCTTGGAATTAGTATCATCGATGGTCCAGGTTTTGAGGATACAGAAGGTATCCAAGCAGATGCAAAAAATATTTTATGCTACAAAAAATTTTTGGAAACTCATAATCAACTTCGCTATGTCAGGCCAAATATTATTATGATAGTTGCAAGTGTCAATAATAAACGTCTTGGTGATGCAAGAAATACGGAAACACCTTTCGCGAGAATGTTAAAAGTAGTTAAAATTTGTCTTAGTCAAAGTATTTTAGATTATGAGCGACCATCAGTTATATTTGTATTGACGAGTCTTCATAGTCTTCCCCCAAAGAAATTAAAAGAAAAATTATCATCTCAAATAAAACTGGTGAAGGAAATGTCAAGTATTATTTTAGGCATCAATGACCCACCCGTCGTTGCTTTAGAGAATTGGGCAGAAGAATATGATATACCACGAGACAATGATTGGTATATCTTGGGTAACGGTGAAAGGCAGCCACTCAATTTGTTTGATGCATTGATTAATCTTTGTAAAAAATCGGAGGATTATATTGGGCAAGAGGCTATTTCTTTGTATTTTTCTAGAGCTGCAAAAAGTGACATTATAATTGGACATAAATTTTCTGCTGAAAAATTAAAAGAAGATGATAATGAATTAATAAATTTAAACATAGCATTGTCAGAAATTAAATTGGGCATAGAAGATTTTGAAATAAAGGAAAAAATACTGCAAGAATTTTCATCACTGACTACAGAAGAAAAAAATGAATTAGGTGATAGAATGCCGATTGAAGTTGCA